TCGATTTGATTTTTCGCGCGATGAATTTGGACATCGCGCTATCGCGCGAGACTTCCACGCGATTCATGCAGTACTCACGCTTCAGGAACCCGCCTTCTCGACCTGGCCGCTTGGGCCCTCCTTCCCGACCCGCCCGTTCGGGTCTACCCGCCCGATCAGTCCGTCTGGTTCTGCCACGTGTTTTCTGTTCCGAGGCCCTCTCCTACTAATCCCGTGCTCCATCCTTCTCCCTCCCCCTTCCGTCCGTCCTGTTTTCCCCTGCTTCAGGGGCTGCGCGGATTACACGCGGCAGGTAAGGAAGACATACCTCCAGAGGGGGAACGATCGAAAACGAAGAGGGTGGGCATCGATGGTGTAAGCTATACGTTTTGAATGGCACGCGTGCGGGTAAGAGCGAACATACGTAACATGGTTGTTGTTGTTGTTGCTGTTGTTGTTGCCGGTGATGATGATGATGATGATTATGGTGGTGATGACGATGATGCTGCTGGTGATGATGATGCTGATGCTGATGATGATGCTGATGATGATGTAATGCTGTTTCCTTGAACCGCCTCCTTGGCGCGCGAAGCGCGCCAGGAGCGTCGCCAGCGTCGCCGCCAGGAGGGTCCACCGCCGGTCTCGAAGAAGAGAAGAAACTTCCAAGATCCGCTCGCGGACCTCCGAAAGTTATGTAGATTCCGTTTTTTTTTGGGGGGGGATTTTTCTTCAGCGTAATGGACACACACCACCATCAGTCCTTGCCAGGGCCATCTTGGGTCCCATGCAGGATGGTGTGCAGTTGAGAGTGCGCAGATGGGGATTTATCCCAAGGTACGGTGAGGGAGCGAACGCAGCTTGAGGCTGAGATCTCCCTCCTCTAGGTGATGTCCAGTGCGATTGTCATCTATCCCAGCCTACATGGGCGTGGTAAAGTTGCGCCCAATTTTGCTACTGCGGCGTTCTTGGGCACGATGCAGTGGAATGTCGAGAGGTGCAGGCGAACACAAGACCATCCCGGACGAAATGCTCACTTTGCTACGATTTCGAACTGAACCCGAACCTGATTCGAACCTGCTTTGCGAGGAAGTCCCGCGCGAAACGCTCACTGTTCTGTTTTTCGAACAGAGTTCGAACCTGGCTCAAACCTGCTTTACGAGGAAGTTCCGTGTGACACGCTAATTTGTCTATTGTTTCGAGCTGAGCTCGAACCTTGTTCGAACTGTTTTTCGAGGAAGTCCCGCGCGAATCGCCCACTTTTCTATTGCTTGGAACCGATTTCTATTGTTCGGAACCGACTTTCGAAGCTGGTCATTTTTTTTTGAAGGCAGCCCCACGCGGCTCGTCGGTTTCGAACCGCCATCCCGTTTATCCTTAGACGCATTTAATTGGAGGCACAAGCCCGAGGTTGCCCCCCGCTGGCACAGCTTCACGCCAGTCACATTGTAGCAGGCTCCGCGCGCATATGGGGCACTTCCGATCCACGCTGCGCCAGCCTGTCAAACAGGGACGATCATTTCTCACGGCACAGTATGGCCTTAACCCATCGCTTACGCCCCCCGATGCAGTTTGCGATCGTCGTTGGATCCGTACCCCTGCTGCTTCGCCCCAATCTGAGCGCTAGGGATTGACAGAGCAAAGCTAAGAACCTCGGCTCCACAGAGGCCGAGCGCTTATCGATGCCCCCACTGCGCAGGGCCCAGGATGGCCCTGTCCATGCATGGTGGGGATGTATGGGTGTTTTTTTCGTCTAGTGAGCCTTCCTTCGCTTCTCCTCCTTTTCTGTATCTTGTCTTCATGGAGGTGGGGCCAGGGGGGGTCATGTTTTTCTTGGTTCTGGATCTGCGAGCTTCAGGGCCGCATGTGCGTGTTCTCAGGCCGACTTACGCTGTCCCTCGTCGTGCAGAATGGACTGAGGTCGGTGCTCCCCAACAGACTCTTGTCACCAACCGCTGCGATTTCGATCGTCGATTACAGTGGAAGCCCATGCTAAGAAACACCCTGCTTGCCTCCAGGGTGCTGTGGGTTTCTGTTTTTTTTTGGGAGGGGTTCGATGGTTTTGCCATGTAGAGCGTGACGTTCCCGCACCGAAAACCAATGGACGTCCTGGGGTCTCAGGGTTGGGCTTCCTATGGAAGGTTTCCTGTGATCGAGCTCCTGCTGTATGCTGTCGGTTGATCTGCCTCCCACACGACGACGCATCATTCCCGAGTGGATGCGCCACGTCGGGCCATCATTGAGGGCGACCTGGCTGGACCGGCTCGGGAGCCTTCCGGGCACGCTGGCCGTCCCGGCGCGCAGTCGGGAGGGGGGGCCGAGGCCAAGCCGAGCTCCCCGTTCAGCGACGGCCCGGGTGATGACCCACGGCTGCCGAGCATGCGTCGGCAAACTCGGTCGGCCGCGAACGCAAGCGCGACCCTTCTGTGCCAGCGGTGCCCGGGCCGCGCGAGCGTGCCGCACGACCTTGGCGGCCGAGACAGCGGGAGGGCGAGCGAGTTTTGCTCGTGTGGGCGCGCGCGCGCGGGGGGAGTTCCGAGAGTCCTCGCTGGCGGGTCTGGTCTCCCCTGTTGAAGCCGTCAGGGGCAGTCCTTAGCAGTAGGCGGGGCATCAGAATATCTGGCCGCCGTTCCGCATAGTCTGAGCTGTGGCCGGCACTGAAAAGCCTGGAACCTGCTGTGCTTCCCCTGGGGGATGCTCCTCCTTCGCCGAGAACATCCGAAATGCTGGAGGGAAGGTGGTGAGTGTGTATCCTCAATTTGCATGTCCGCGTATCACCGCCAGCCCATCCATCAATAATTTTTAGAATCGTTGCCTTGCTCATTGAAGAATGAGAAGATGCAGTCGCGCAAAGACGAGGGGCACACTGTCTTTGCGTGTAGTCTTCGGTGCTGTGAGGGGCCTCCCGTGGGGTCGCCGTGAATGCCCCCCTGGTCGAATCCCCATGCAGTTTCCTACGAGAGCGGAGAGGCGCAAGGCAGCCAGGAATCAGCCCGACAGGCTTTGGACCTTGGAGCCGCACAGAGAGCACAGCAACAAGGAAACTGGCCTTCAGAAGGTGCCCCACGGAAAAATGTCTGATACCCCGAGGGCGCCAGGGACCCACGGAAGCCCTGGGGCACCTCAGGAGCCTCAAATATCGGCGAAGATAGTGCCCCAAGATCTCTTTAGCGTTTTTATTTGGATAAGCAATACACAAGTACAAAACATATTTCTTCTTGCAAGATGTCTTATCATGTGTGTGTGTGTGTGTGTGTCTGCTGTGTGCAGGGCTCTCCTGCGGCGTTCTGGGGGGCCTCGTGGGCACCTCTTGAGGCTCTCTCGGGGCCCCCTTGAGGGCCTCTGGGGCCTCAAGATGGCCGATCTCGGAGTCCCTCGAGGAATTTTTGGGGGGGTGTCCTCAAATGAGCTCCCCGTGCCAGATTTTTGCTTTTGGGGCCCACCTCCCTGATCTGCTGTTCGAATCTAGTTCGACTCTAGCTCGATTCGAGTTCGACTCAAGTTCGACTCACGTTCGACTGAAGTCGACGGACGTTCGACGCAGCATCGATGCATGAGTGGAGCGAATGGCTTTAGGAAGGTCCTCAGAACGACCATCTAACCCCCGTCGGAGGAAGAAGCATCGCCTTTGGGTGCTCTCTTGGGCTCTCTCGGGGTGCTCTCGGGGGCTGATGGCCGAGTCTTGGGGTCCTTTGTGGGCCTCCCCTGGAAATCTCTTCGGCGATCCTGATGACACCTTGAGGTTTTCACGTAGGAGTCCATCAGAGGAGAAAAGGCCAGACGCCTGACATAATGGAGCACTTTTCGTATAAGTATCTACACCTATGTATATTTGTATATACATGTTTATGTTCATACACACATATGTATATGTATGTCTATGTATGTATGTATGTATGTATGTATGTATGTATGTATGTATGTATGTATGTATGTATGTATGTATGTATGTATGTATGTGTATGTATGTATGTATGTATGTATGTATGTATGTATGTATGTATGTATGTATGTATGTATGTATGTATGTATGTATGTATGTATGTATGTATGTATGTATGCATGCATGCATGCATGCATGCATGCATGCATGTATGTACGTATGTATGTATGTATGTATGTATGTATGTATATATAGATATATATCTGTATATTCTGATTTCGGCACCTCGGGGGATCCTTGGGAGGCTTCGAGGTTCCTTGATGCTGCCTTGGAGGCCTGCTGGACGCACTCTTATTCTAAAGTGAGCTGGGACAAGGGCGAGAGATAGCAAGCGTTTGTCCGCGGCCGCTTGGGCTCAAGCGACCGGCAGCCAATATATGACTGTGCATCATCGCGAGGCACACTATTTGCCATCGGGACCGATTCTCTTGAGATGGCCCGTCGGGGACTATCGTTACTACGGTACAAAGCTGGAGCTGGGCTTCGCCAAAGGAGAAGCTGCTGGTTGGGCCTCCCAGCCCCCTTCAAACTTGGTAGCGGAGCTGGCCTATGGTGGTCAGCTCTCGCTCTACTCCTCACCATCCACGGCACTATCTGGTGGACTACTGACGTGGTGGAACATCAGGGTGAAGTGGGTCTGCGCGGAGGAAAGTACATAACTACGCACAACCGCAAAGACACTTGCAGTGCTACCTCCGCTTTCGCGGAGGCCTCTTACTCGAGTCCTACATCCTTGCGCTACTACTGTCCTGATGTCCACCCACCTACTCCAACTGGAAGCTTCTTCGAAGATACCATGCGTGGCAACGTGCGATACGACATTGTGCCGCCTCCACTCCCACGCAGGCTTACAGCAAAACACCACAAACCACAGCCAGTAATACCCGACCATGACCTACGGGGCCATTGGATTTGCATTTGTATCTGTGGCCTTATATGGGTCGCTATCGGGTGTGCTGTGGGACACATGCGTGGCGGAGACGACGCGAGAACAACCGGCCCCCATTGGGACCTGGCCGTTCAAGTACCTTTCCGTGAATTCGTTCGAGAAGTTCATGCCTGGACCAACGTGACCACAGGCAATATGTCGCCCTCCCAACAGGATGCTGCGCTGCAGCGTGGTCTGGGAGGTCTTGCACGGACCATAGCCATGAGAGTTCCCCCCGCAGTCATCAACTTTGGCTCTAACATCGGTGGTTGTCATACCGATGGCGTCACCTACATCATGTTCCTCCTTAGCCAAAGTTTGAGAACTTAGAAGAGGAAGGCCTCGGGGACGGCTCTCATTGACTTTCGCGTCCATGCGGGAGAACGGATCGACCAGACATTAACACGCTGCGAGATAGCCCGCTACGAGGCTGAAACGGCAGGCTTTAACATCCCCAACTTCCGAATCCTAGCAGTTATCTTGTCCAGAGCCTTAGGGGTGGGGGCGTCGCGTGCACGACAACTCTCACAGCCACTTAACCACTAAATGCCGAGGAATCAACAACAATTTGATGCTGTAAGGTCATGGGCCCACATTGCTGAGCGACCCCCTGGCAATGTTGGTGGTATCTTTAGCCGTGGTCACCTTGCCGAAACCTCTCATGCGGAATCTACTGCAGGGCATCCTGAGACAAACGTCTGGAATGACGATCCGCAAGCAACGGATACCACCACTCTATTGGCCCAAAAGGGCGGTTTGCCTACGGGGTCGCAAGATTCCTGGGATGCTAGGGGCCGTCGGCAACGGCGGCCCCTACCAAAGCCACTACCCTTGTAGGCTCAGCGGGGCAGCCCGCCGAGTCTGACTTCGACTCTGGCACCGACGCCGACGCGTCATCAGATGACGAAACGACTGTCCTGGACCATTCCGACATGCCCACGTATCTTACAAAAGAGCAGCAGGCCCAATGGCTGTTTCTAGGATAGCAGAATCATAAACGCAGATGGAGACGGGTTAGGAAGAAGCCAACTCGCAAGGTACGACGTATTATCCGACGGGTACTTAGGGGAACAGGGCAAAGGTCGAGGCAAGGGTGGGGGCAAACGACTGCGATTGCATGGCAGAGATATGCTAGCATTCCTGGCACCCCTTAGTTGACCACAGTATGGATAATTATTCTTGGGAGCAGGCAGGGGCCGTAGGCGCGTCTCAGGAAAAAGGGTGAGGGACGTCGGGACAACCCGGAAGGCGCTAACGGTAAAACCGTGGAATGTGACATCTGCCCTCGTGCGCAACATTTCCGCCGTGAATGCCCCCCCCAGGGCGATGGGGGAGGCAGGGGTCCGTCAACGCATTTGGCTCGAACCGATTCGGACATGCGCTGTGTCGGTTGGGGGGGCGCTATTAGCCGACCCTGCAGACAACTCTACCGCAGTTGTGAACTTCATGGCTGCCAGGCATCTAAGTGCCAGCGAGCCCCTCGAGAGATGCGCCGATGAGCTCTTCGAGGATATATATATATATATATATATATATATGTTGACCACGGCGCGATTAACCTGGCAGACTGGCTTCATACCCATCGTGGGGCAACCTGTGCATATCGCTTTTGTTGAGGATTCCCATTTGCCCGCCGACGTAGATCATGATGTGGCGGGGGCGCCTGCGGATTCTGAAGCTACAATTCCAGCGACAGAAGAGGAAATTCAAATTATGCTCCATTCTCAGGTCATTGGTAAACCGATAAACACATAACCATATGACGAATATCCTCTGCGGGGCCACCCGCGAGATGCTGGCGACCCCAGAACGCATCCAGTGCGAACTTGGACATGCTGAAGACCATCATCTTACGTTCGTGGCTCTTGGGCGGTCTTCGAGCCGCCACGGGCGATCCGCTAGTCGCCAAATCTGGAGACGTACGAAGCGCTCAGATGATGGCGAAGAGGAGTGGGGGGCTGAGGGCCGTCGTATGCAGGGTCGCGGTCGCGGCCACTTGCGCGGGCACTCGCGCGCGCGCTCCAGCGGCGCCCGGCGCTCCCGCCGTCCTGGCGCGAGGGCCCCAAGGACTCCGCCGAGGAGGTGGCGCTCGCGGGGGAACCCGCCTCAGAGGGAGAACCGTCCAGCTGCGCCCGAAGCATGAGGCGTGCGACTCCTCGTCAGGTATGGCGATCGTGGGCAGGCTCGCCAGTATATACCCCCCAACGCGATGCAATGCTGGCTCGACCGAGGCTGGGCCGAGCATGACATTCGTCACTGGTTTTCACTTTGCAATGTTGAGCGGAATGGCGAAGGCGCGACCGTCCGCGCCAATAGAGGCAAGGGCGCCAAATCGGGAGAAAACCTTTAAAAGACGGGACCTCAAGAGGGCCGCCATCAGTGACCAGAAGACCTGCCGGTGCACCGTCTGCCCGTGCGAACATTTTGCCGACCACAGACCTTTGTGTCCGATGAGGCGTCCATCAAGGAGCCCCAACTTCGAAAGGGCTCCCTGGGTCTGGTCTCGCGGATATGGTCTGGGTCGCAGAGTGGATCTGACCCATCATCCACCTGCAGAATGTTTGACCGAAGCTGACTACCAGCCGATTGATAACAGAGATATCAATCGGATCGATCGAATTCGGCAAAAACTCGACATATACTACCGCCTCAAAGTATACAATCGAGAATCTCATGGAACAGGTCGTGCGAGACTTGCGGGGCAACCCACTTCTTCTTTTCATGGCGGTCCTGCCCATCCAGAAGGCGATGAAAGGGGCTGGTCGTGA